CTATGCTAGACACTCTGTCAGATGAAACTAACCCTTTATCATGCTTACGTGGAAAATTTTCTAGAAATGCAAGGAGTAATCATCTTTAACAATGAACATGTACACGTATTAGAACTAATTGGTGTGCTAACACACATATCCCTTCCGCTGCTCATTTTGAATGAGCAGGTTGAACAATAACTTTTTTTCGCATGTACAGGTTTGCATGCAGCACAGGTTTTTATTTATTCTTATTTTCATTTTTTTCCTTTTTAAATGGCCTTTTACAGTTCTGTGCAATTTTTAATTTTGCATTTCTGTTTCAATTTCCTTTGGCGGTTTGTTTACTTCAAAACTTAACAGAAAGAAATTAAGTTTCTATGTACCAAATATTTCAAAGAGCAAACATTCGCTTAAAACTTTGCATAGGAACCCACTCATATTATGAACATTGTCTTACCTACATGCATGCAAGTGTCTTAGGGTGCACTTTCAAATAAGGATATTAAACCAAAAAGGATGTACAATCACTTTCGTACGTACAATAGGAACAGTAAATTGCACAATCATGTTGAAGTTCCTAAGTAAATTACTTTCATTGGCCCTTCAAGCTTTTAAAAACATTGCACAAGGACAGAGGATGTGGCTGAGCTAATATATGAGTGCATGACAACTCCACTCTGTCTAAAAAACGCATTGTATTATTCAAAGTCTTAACTCTTTCCTTGATGCGAAAAATCCCATATCTTTTGTAAGTTGTAATCTGAAAACATTGCAAGGAATCTCCGTTATTGCTTATGATCACAATGTATTTTGTGGACTGCCGCATATTTTTTCATACGGTTCACATATGCATGTACAAATAATGTATTTTTTGCAGAGGAAAGTAAAACACCTTTTACATGTATGTACATTTATTTGCCAACATGTACACATGTGGGTTTTAAAAATTTAGAACCAATGTACATGTACAACTTTGCTTGTAAGGAAATCTAGGACACTCTATTCGTTTTGAGAGCTACCAAATATTCATCAGTGTATGCAGATTAAGAGTATGCAAGTAAAATTTCATGAACCTCAAGATATGCATATGTGGCTGTGTCGAAAATGTTTTTGACCCATCTAAGCTATTTTTAAAACCGACTGTGATATTAAGTTAGCAATAGAACTATGGGAATATTGGATTCGTTGTTAACAAGAAGTCCTTTCTCCTCTTTTTAATTTGGAGAAAAGATGTGGTCCATGTAACTGTAGGGGTCATGCTATTTAGCGTCAGAGAGCGTCAACAAAGTGTCAACAAGTTATTCGTGCATGTTTATGCAAAGATTTTTCTATATCCAGAATTCTACATTTTTATCGTATCCATCTGAAATGATATTTGAGTGTTGAAATTTAAGTGACAAAGTCCCACCTGACTGTGCAGCCCAGAAACGGGTCAACTCGTACCCAAAAATTTACATCCAAGTTAAGTCATACCCGAGTCAAGTTGCACCCAAGTCAAGTCGTACCCAAGTTAACTCGTACCCTACGAATTTCCACATTGAACCTGTTCAATAGAAGCATTTTTCCCGGCTGCGAATGACGAAAGAGGAATGACTGCGCGTTCCCATATTCTCTGCTCAGTTTACTTGTATTTTTGGGAATATTAAATTAAGATAATGAATATGAAAAAATATCATTTGTCGAATTGTTACTGCCGTCACCATGTTTTTCTCTTTTTTTTTTTAGAGATGATCCTGTGAAATCTTGATGTCAGTGGTCACACTGTACATCAGAACAGGCTATGCGGCAGACGTTGAGCATTGTGGGAGAACATTTTAACAAACTTGAAACTTGAAGTACAGCGTGCAGTATAAGCATGAAGAAAATGGAAACAAGCACGACTGAAATTGCACCTTTTGGCATGCAATAATTTGAGTGACTTCTTTTCTTCATGAATTGGTACAATAATAGCCCGAACGCCTCCAGTTGTACAGTTCTATCACAAACTTTGTAGAACAGTTTGAGATAGTACTGTATGACCGGAGGTATATGGGCCAGTGAAATAAATGTATCAATGATGTGTTGTTTATGATTGTAAATGCTTTGAGTGACTTCTTTTCACAATAAAATTTGATAGACAATTAAACCGAAGCAGTGTAATTTCTTTTTTTTTGCGGGCATAGTATACATCACCATTTTGGGGCTATTTGGGGGCTGGCCATCAACCTTCCCGCTTGGGTAGTCTCAGGAGAATCCACAATTTTTATTGTAGCTCTATGAAAGGCAACTGCAGCCCACGCCAACACGAAAACCCGATCATAATGGCGGCACTTGAAAGAAGTTTTTGGTCAAGTCTGCCGCTTAACCATTGAAAGCGGCTTCAATGTCATTTCTTTTGGGGGTACGACTTAACTTGGGTACGAGTTAACTTGAGTGCGACTTCAATGTCATTTCTTTTGGGGGTACGACTTAACTTGGGTACGAGTTAACTTGAGTGCGACTTGGCCCGAGTTGACCCGGTAAAGTTAACCAGAGTACAAGAAGACTTGGGTACGAGATGACCCAAAATCTGCAGCACGACAAGCAACCATCTTGTTTTCACATGAACGGCAGAGGAAAGAAAGATGGTGACGCCCATACATTGCAAAAAATTTTTGTCTTCCTGCGAGAATCTGGAAGCCAATTCGGTGTTTCTCTTACACAGTGGCAGGTGTTACAGTCTCTTAAATAAGATAAAACCACTTTCAAATCTGGAGACATGGTAGAGGGTATTTCCAAGTTGTTGATGCTTTGTTGAAATAGCATGACTGAACTGTAGAGCTGCAACTTCAAGTGCATTCAGTACAAGTCAACTTGTCTCAATCAATCAACGATTGGTCCCCACGGTTGAGTTGTCTGTCCATCTGAGGCTCAGATGGTCGAGTTGTTCCAAGTCAAGTTGGCAAGTGGTCGAGTTGTCCCAAAACCTGGCATGCCAGCTCTATCTTTAATTCTGCACTACCATGAGATACCCTCAGTGCATCTGCCCACACCCCACAGTTTTGGGGGCAATCATGAGCATAGTAAGCAAGTGGTTTGCAAATTGCAGCAATTTTTGCAATTCACATTTCTCGGAGTTAGGCCTTACCTTTATTTGTCGTGTATGTCATTCATCGTCAATAAATAAATAAATAAATAAATAAAATGTTATGTTATTGTAAAAAACTTCAATCCGTCACAATACAAATCGTACAAACAAGAATGCATCTGACATGTCTGAGCGATCATACTTTACACTAGTGATCGCGTCAAAGCAAACTCCATTATGCCCGTGGTAAGAGACCTGTCATTTCCTAAATTAGGCCCTAGGCCTACATCGTAGGTCCAACATGAATTAAAACAAATCTGAAGGCTAAAATCAAATTACCAATTCCAGTTTAGCGAAGTATTCCTTCAGGAAGGTTGTAGGGTTTTCTGGACGGTGGATGCATAACTGCACGATACAGTCTTTCAGAACTTGCTGTATGTTGTGCCTTTGAACGTAAGCCTCACAATCTTTCAAGCTCTGCTCATCATCCATATTGGACGCCATTTTGTCTCAAGATTTAATAGGACCTAAGCCTACCAAACAAATAAAAACAGGTTTAATTCCACATACGTCAAGTACATGTATCTGTACGTCACGCTTTTGTACATGTACTCTCTGCATCTGCGCCCAGTACTGTGAATCTGCGGCTGGTCTCCCAAATATTTACACTCAAAGTATAGTGGATACCAGTGCAAATTCTCACATAGTAGACTGATTAACTGTCTTATAAGCGGCCCCACACAGAGCAACGCATCACTAACAGTGCACATAATCAGCTGTTTAAAACATTCTAAAAAATATGAGATTCCACAATGAAGCTATATGCACCTTTTCCGATTGCAAATTCGATGTCTCCTAAAATACCTTTTCTCAGCAATTTCGGGATTCTGGTCCATACAACTACATCTAGAGCAGATGAACATGCAAACTCCATTCTACGAAGGGGAACAAGAACGTCACAAGAAAATGATGAAAAAACGTAATTTCACTGTATTCAAGCTAATTATTAATGAAAATATGATTTCAACAGAATTACAGGTTTACGAATTTGCAACATCAGATGTCTGCCAGTTAGGTAAAAAAATCGTTTACTAGAACAAAGTATTGGATACTAGATTGCAGTTATAATAAAAAAAAATCCAGAAAAAAAATCAATTTAAGCTCTCTTATAAACGACCTCTATCCAGTGACATAGATTTACATGTATCACTTTGAAACTTTCCACACAATAATGCTAATGCCCTCGTTTTGCCTATAAAGCCCAAGGTAACAGGAATCGGAGTCACTCTTTTGCTTGTGGTGTCACCGTCACCAGCCTAAGTTCTGTTTGGTTAAAAGTACTTTCAAGAACATTGAACATTAACTTTACTGTTCTTGCCGGGTGACCGTGAAAAAAGGTCAACTGACTGTCTTGAAACTTCCATTTTCCAGTGTTCCAAAACGTCGACATGTAGCAATTTATCAACATAAAATGCATCAAAGTTATTGGAAGAGACGCTAACTTTCCCCCTAATATAAAAGTATCTCCAACCTAGTATTTTCACTGAAAAGGCATTCAGCATTATCATGTAAAACTGCCGTGCTAAAAGGAGTTTGAACTCACAGATGGACCTTTTAATATTATTATTTATTTGGTTCATTTCTCGGGAAACACAGGTAAACAAAACAGACAGTAAAACAAAGAAAAAGATTCCTATATCGAGTGGCGCGCGCATCCTTACATAAAAACTTAAACATAACACACACATAAACATATAAAGGGGGCCTAATATAAAAGAAACCCTATTCATGAAAATTACACACACCATGAAACCATGAAGGTGTTATAATGTAAAAAAAAATCAACTGTTTCATCATAACGCCAAAGAAATTAAGTGAAAGTTTGGCTAAATGTTGATAAACCCTTTTGTATGATTTCCAGTGATTGGTGAGTTGTGCCGTGATAGTCAAAAAGTTTCAAGTTCACCAATGCTTCCGTCTGATCGTGATGACTATGGTACATGTAATAGCCGTCAACACCATCCTCTACAATCGACGTCACATCCTGTGGGTATAAAAACATAATCCCAGCATGGGGGGGTTGCATGCCGTGCCGCTTGGGAAAAGGCCTGCAATTTCCTTTGCATGTATCTTATGTATTACTTAGGTTAAAAATTTTGTTAATTTTGCCCCCAAGCTATTCCTCCAGGTTTTCAGTCCATGGGTTTTCTTGTAATTGCTTTTGTTGGTTTCCAACTATGACGTCACTATTGGCTGGTTCTCAAGATATATTTGTGTGAATTGTTATCGCAGGTGTACCAGGATCCCTGAAATTCGTCACTTTCGAAAAAAAATGGCGAATGTCGCTTGGCCTGGCGTTCCAAATCAGTCTGCGCCGTCCTCTCATTGGTAAGCATCTTGTCCTCTATGCGTATAACTAGACACAAATAATTTAATAAACAAATTGATCCTTCATGAAGGACACTCTATTTACTAGTAGTATATTTAAAGACTGTAATACTAGGGTGGGAATGTCGAGAAACCTGAACCAAGTTCGGCCTAAAAGTTAAAACTTAAGTTAGGCCCTAAAGACAGTTTCCACGGAATACATGTCATGCATGTACATGTAGGCCTACATTCATGACATTAGGCCTAGGCCTATGTCATATTTGTCAATTGTCATTATTTATGTATTATGTATGATATCCAATTATGGTCCTCGTGGTTAGCCCCACACGTAGGGCTGTAGCGGCTCTCTTTTACAATTTGTCTCTTCTTTGTCTGTCGCCATTGTGATTTCAAAGGGGGGTGGACAACGGGGCATGGGCATCCAATGGGGAGGGGGCACTCCCCCTCCCCGTAGTTATAACACATAGGCCAAGGGCAGCACAACGGCACACATGCTTGCATGTGTCATTCTGATGGTACAATTTGGCGCACATGTACGAGTTGCCAAGCGAACAAGTTGACCAGCATGCATTCTAACCCCAACAGTATTGTATTCAAGTCCATCACAAGGCCTTTCACAAGTCTCTTCACAAGTACAGTCACAAATCCCTTCACAAGGCCAGTCACAAGTTATAGGATGAACATGACAAAAGAACGTTAGTTTAGTGTGAGATTATTAGCAAATGTAACTGTTGTATTTGGCATTGGTGTCATTCCGCTCTGACTCCTGTTCCCTTGTTCATTTGTATACCTTGATATTTAGCTCATCAACCCCAAGTCACTCAGACTCTAACTGTAGGTTTTGTCAAGTTTACGCTTACTCAGGATCATACATTATGAACTGGTTCAGCTTTGTTGGATTCAAGAACATAGGCCGAGGGTGATGGGTTTTGTTTAAGTTGTGGCGCACAGCAGTTGCTCCGTGGAATGATTGGCTAGTGGTACCATGTGTTGGATTATGCTTGGCTTTGTCAGAGTTTGTACTTCTTCTCTGCTCGTCACCCGTATGCTGTAGAGACCTATCCGTACCACCAAATGACTCAAATGTCAAGACTGTTGACCTGTAGGAGTTTAACAGACTTCGTCCAGTTATGTGCCAGTAATTACATTGGCCCCTCTGTAGATACAAGTCACATCTGTTGAACTTTGTTACTCTTGGTACTGTTTCTAGTACAAAAGCCTAGGGGGTTAGAGTTAAGGGAATTTCCCAAGAACTGTATTAGACACATGACATTTTTACTATTTTGTGATTTGCCAGTGTTACTTTTATTGCTTTCCTTGAAATTACCTACAGGTGCCAAGTACTAATTTTTCCCATTGCTGTTGCAGGTGATTGATTGCATATAAAATCTTGGCTTTATATATTTATAATTGTTTTAGGGGACAGTATAATCCGGGGGTTATGCCACCAATGCCTGGCACTGAAGGAGCCCCCAATGCAAGTTGGGAAATCGCTCGAAAGGCCTTGGAGAAGTTAGGCGATGAACCATTACCGGATGCAGCAGGTACCATCTTGGGAAGAAGCAGCGGTAAGTCAAGTGAAATGACCAAGACAGATGCAGGAAAGAAGAAGAGCCCGAAGAATCAGCCAGCAAAGGACAAGCAGCAGACGAAACAAGACGGAGAAACAGATCAACAGCAGCAAATGCAGCAGCAGATGAAACAAATGCAGCAAATGCAGATGCAGCAGTACGGTATGCGAAAATTTCATCCCCATAATATGTTGACTAGAGCTTGTTTTGTAAACTTGTTTTGTTCAAGTTTCATTTGCCATCAGTTGTTCTTAGTATTTTTGAAACTTTTCTGAATTTTTTAAGACGGAAAAATATTGAAATGATTGGATCAGAAAAGAAAGCTCAATAAATGGCTGATAATAGTACAACGTCTGTGTGTTATTTCTTTGCTTTCTACAGCCAATTACTACAGCCATTACAGTGGAATGAACCCAGCCCAGTTTGGTTATGGGTATGGCATGCCCCCACCAATGGGCCAGTATGGCATGATGCCAGGCTATCAGCAGGGACAGGTAAATGTTGCTCCATACCAGAGAATTAAAGCAGAGTTCATTTTTGAAAACAACTATTGATCAAACAAGTGCCATTCATCAACAAGAAATGGTGTCCCGTCTGGGCAACACACAGCATGCAAGTGGAGGGTTTTTGCCTGTGTTGTGGAGAATGTTCCAAGGCCTGCTGGGCCCAAGGTACCGTTGAAAATGGTATTACAGACAGCTCTGTCTTCTTTACTGATGAGGGGATGTGTGTTCTTGGAGTGAAGAGAGCAAGTGCATCATGGGATTTCATGGTTCAAAGTTTGGACACATACATGTAGTAGCAAAATCTGCCAACTATTTTTACGAGCAAAGTTTTTGATCTTGTACATTTTGCCAACACTGTTACAGGACGTGTATCAACAGTACCAGCAAGGAATGCTCGGTAACTTTCCAAACCACCCTCCATCGCAGGGTCCGCCATTCCCACCAGGTGCCCCCCCTCCGAGCCAGCCCCCACCCCAGAACCCCCCGCTCCCTTCTGCGCCCAGCGACAGTGTAGGTAAGACCACAGGTGAGGAGAATAAATTAGGTAATAACAGCAGTGGCAACTCGCAGCAGGGTGGCAATGGGGGGAACAGGGTTGGTGGTGCTGGTGGCAGGATGGGCCAGTCCAACCAGGGTGGTACAGGAAGCAGTTATGGCTTCCCTGGCCCTATGAATAGAGAAGTTCCTACTCCTAAGAGAGCTGCTGATGACTGGAATTCTCCACCGCTCAAGCGTAAGTCAAGGTTCCATTTCCACTTTTTTTATCAGTGAAGCATTTGTTATGCGAAAAATTCATGATCCTTTAGCAAAAGAACATTGACATATCTTATAGGATGATTTTTTTAGTTTCAAACCTGAACTTGGGTTATGATGCTGTTGTATGTGTAATTATTCCCAGAAGTAACACTTCTAACTTGGACCTTGCAATGAATGTTTAAACTGCCTAGCAGTGAGCGAGTTGATATTCCCAGTAGAGCATGCCCATAATAACAAGCATTAGTGGTCTTTCTCGCGTGCTAAACATATTTGAACTGGCAAATTTTGTTCTTGAATGATCTTGCCTATTTGAAATGTTGAACTGGCTCATTTGAGGTATTAACTTGCAGTAGTTTAAGTTCTGTTTTTGAGTATGATAACTGCAAATGTTTTGTGATTACATTTTTTGTTTAAGTTATCTTTTTCGTGGTCAAAGTGTAGCTATCACGATTGACATCTAATCATATAAAATTAACTTTCTCCCGTTGTGTAGAGCCTCCTGATGCAGGAGGAATCAGGTTCAATATGCGTAAGAGACCAGGGTTCTCCAGCGGAGCGAACATAGACAGCAACTCTAACAACACCCAGCAGCAACAGCAAAGAAACCAGCAGCTTCAGCAGCAGCAGCAGCAGTACTGGCAGAAGAACCACAGGCAACAACAGCAGTACCATCAGCAGCTGAGACAGCGTCAGCCTCAACACCAGCGACAGCAGCAGCATCAACAGCAGCGTCATCAACAGCAGTGGCAACAAACAAGCAGACAGCAAGGTCTTGAAGGAGGCCAGATGCAGGCTGGTGCTCCCTCTCCAGTCGGCAGTGGCGATACAAGCAAACAAGCAGACAAAGCACCTGCACAAGCTGGAAGGTAGCATTTCCACATGTTTGAGTAGTTGGGTAACAATGTCCATCTGGAATTTTGCCTTGGTCAACAAAATGTCAGGTTGTTGAAATTATTCCAGTGTTGCATGATTTTAACTTTTTTGTGTGTGTGTTTGATTTCAGTACGCCGGCATCACACACTGATTGGCCTGACAGCTTAAAGTACGTAAAGTATTTTCACACCTGTTCATCAATTCATTGTGTTAATTCAGCAGACTCAGTTTCATGTTCGTAAGAGAGAATGCCCCTTGGATTAAATGGAACCCTTAATGCGTTTTTCTGTTAATTAATAATGAAACTGACCAATAAATAATGTCAAGGGGTTTTGTCAGTTTCATTTAAAACAAGATTTACAGTTGACTCATCGGCTGTAACGACATTCCGGTCATAAGAAACATCTTTGGTCCTAACGAAAACCTGCACATTTCTATGGGGAGAAACTCTGTTACAGCAAAATTGCATTGTACGAAATTCCTGTTACAATGAAAGGTTTTCTTGACTCCGTTGCCTGAAAAGCCATCGTTGACGACCCATTTATAGCAGCATTTGCGAATCGTGATGGTGGAAACATATGCGCAGCACACTGGATCCCACCAAGCCGAACTGTTGCCAAAGAAGACATGATGGTAATGCAGCAACCAATGTACAATTCCCGCCAAAAGGGGGTCGTACATTCCACTACATCGTATACAAATGCAGCTTTACAGTTGCAAGTTGAAAAAACCCTGCTGTCACAATTTTTCTGCAGATTCATTCACAAAAATTGTTCTCATGTTTATGTTTGTATTTTCTGTGTTCATGAATTTAATTTGACGTTTTACTGCTCGTACTCGAAGCGTGTTTCCAAAAAATTTCCAGCCGCAGCACAAGGCTAATCGCCCGCCCCTCCAGATGCATCACGCACGCTTAAAACGCGATGTACAGACATCATTTGCTAGTTTTCTGTCATCATGACAAATGATTTATTACACAAACGCCAAACCAAAAATTCCCTTCCCAGTTCGATAAAAATACACCCCAAATAAGTTCTTCTGACTATTCTCGCATCTCAAGAGCCCAACTAATCGCCCAACACTGAATTATTCATATTGCTGCCAAAATATCTAGCATACCCACCAATGAGACTGTGTGTTTATGTGATATAAATTTTGCAAGACACAGCTATCCAATCGCAATATTCCTTCATGACATCATGCTTCGTTAGCGACCATCTTGCACAGGCAGCCGCACCGCACCACAGTGGGCGAGTGAACTCAGACTATCGATCAATCGTGGTTATGCAGCTAGTGTCAAAAATCAAAAGACTGATGGAAAATTAAATAAAAATGTCTCTCCATGACACATTTGTGTTGGGAAGACTACTTTAATGGATGGGGGCTCCAGTTGATGAGTCTTCACATTCCTGCTGGTACGGACTGGCTTACATGTGCATGCCATTTAGTTACTGTTAACTTCGTCGTCATCCATGTTGATCAAAAGTCTTTTAAAAATCCCCGGATCAATGCTTTCACGTGTATTTACCTTTTATCTCACATGCACATTAAACGTGTTGTCATGTGACAGTAAAATTTATTATTCAGAACACATCACAATATATTTGATTAATGATAACCGAGAGATCTTTTTGATATCATTAACCCCTTCGCTCCGGGAGACGGCAAGAGCCGCGGCTTTGTGTGAGGATTATTGCATAAGACACATACAGGCTATTCACCATGCAGCTGCTTGTTCAATGGGGCCTGCTGATGGACAAAGCCCTCCATTCAGGGCATACCACAGCCCAGCAGTCATGGTCAAAGGAATTACCGGCGCAAAGGGGTTTACATCAACCACGTTCGTGTGCTTGCAAGTACAGTACATTTTACATGGCACTGTACACAATTTCCCCTATTTGTGCAGTGCAACGAAGCCATTGCGCTGCGTTCCGCCTAGGACAAATTTCAGATAGAACAAACATTTCTACTTGGTCCCGCGGATTTTGTAATAACGAGAGTCAACTGTATTTTGCATTTTGCATTCTTTGTGTATTGAGTGTGATGTTGCTGAGTGATCCACTCATTAAGGGATGAATGCAACAGTAAACAAAGCCTGATTACTGTTGCACTGGATAAGTCTTCGCCATGCTTTTATCATGCTGCTGTAATCAGTGTACGGCCACAGTATATTTGTGTCGTCCCTTTGTAGACAACCTTGCTGTGGTTCCTGCACAGATCCCATTTTGGTTATGCCTCTTTGCCTTTTTATGGTCCGTCTTGCAGAGAATACGTGCAGAGAGCTTTTAGTTGCTGTGATTCTGAAATCGACAAAGATGCCATTGAAGCAAAACTCAAAGAGATACTCACAGATGCATTCACAGATGGCACAGCCTGGACAAAGGATTGGGATAAACAGCCTCTACCAAAGTAAGTTTGTTTTGTTTCGCATAAACTACAGAAATCTCTTTAAGAAAAATTAAAGCCTTTGGCATTTGAGGTGTGTGTGTGATTGGTTTTTTACCCTAACTATCCCAAGTCCCTCAAGCTCCAACTGTAGGTTTTGTCAAGTTTTGGCAAATTCAGTACCAAATGCTTATAAAATCCAATGTTCCAACTTGTTGGATTGAGGACCAAGGCCTGGGTTGATGGTGTTAGATTTTTTTGACTGGACACACAGCAGTTGTCCTGCAGAGTGACAGGCTGGTATTATCTATACGTGGACTGTGCAGTACTACTACTCTGGAAGTCACCTGTATATTGCAGAGGCCTATCCATACTAAATGACTCAAACTTTGAAACTGTTGACCTGTTGGAGTTTGGCAGGTTCTGTCCAGTCAGGTGCCAGTAATGACAGTGACCCCCCTGCTAGATGCATCTGTTCTAGTTGTATCTGTTGAAGTTTGTCAGGTTCAGTTCTTTTTCTGGTACAAAAGCCAAAGGGGTTAGGGTTAATCTGTGAGAAGTTTTTGGTTAAAATTTTTGACTACGGCCAGGGCTTTCAATACAGATCAGCTTCTGGGAGAATATTAGCCATGCACAGAAACAAGAAACAAATGCAGAGCCAGAGTGAGGCGTGCATTTAGCTCTTAAAGTGTGCCTGTTTAAAGATGTAATGTCAATACGGTATACCCAAATTTCATGTCATTCAAGACAAACTGGTCCTCAATATTTCAACGGGATTTCCTAGATTTTTCCATGATTGCAAATTAGAGCTGTGTTTCCAAGTCTGCCCTCTGTCCGACATTCCTTATTGCGTCCATGTATTCTTGCCAAACAGGAGTAAATCGGACCTCAGATACATGTACATGCACTAGTTTTTTTTTTAATTTCTTGTTTTGTATGCTCAAATGCACCAGTGGTTAAATGTTTGGAAGAAAACATCCTTTGTGCACTGAAATCTAATACTTTCAATTTGTCATTCTGTTTTAGTGAACTTTTGGCCAGCCCAAAGAAGGTGTCCCGATGGGACGCATCTGTCCACCCCCTAAGCCAACAACCTCCACCCCAACGGAATCTCTCCCAGAACACACAGCCGCGCGCAGGCCACACTGCAGGTTACGACAGCCGGCACTCTGCTGTACCTGTACACTCACGCTCTGGACGGAGGATATATGGTTTTGCGCGAGAACGCTCCTACAGCCGCTCCAGGTCGCGCTCCTGGAGTCGGTCCAGAAGCAGGTCACGTAGCCGAAGCAGGTCTCCATACTCCAGGAGGTCAAACAGGAGACGACGTTACAGCAGGTAGGGGGAATGAGGAGAGTGCCTAATGCTTCACAGTCTTGTTAAGGGTTTCAGCCCTATTTTACAGAGCTGCTGAGTGTTGTTTCAAAATGCTAATCACAATTCATCTGAGTTGCAAAATGAAGCAAAAGACGCCTTAGGCTGCAACCCCTCTTTTGTCTAGAGCTAGGTCTTAGCCTTCTCTCTATTGAAAATATGGGCAGAAAAGTTGACATTGGACACAGCCATAGCTTGTACCTGGCCTTAAATAGATGGTCTACATTTGTTTTATGAAACAGCATTTGTACTGAGTGTATTTGTGTGTAGGGTTTTGGGTGATATGTCTTCTCAGTGTCTACCACATTCCAATATATTCTTCACATGTAATCAAACCAGCAGAAGTAATTTATCATCTGAAACTTCGTCCGAAAACCTCATAATTAGTAAAAGATGACCCCTTTATCAAGCCATTCACGCTGGCAGTTTTAGAGAATCGATCACTGCAGAGTTTGCAATTTTGGACAAGGAATATATATTTCCAAAGACCTACCAAAGGATAACTTGAAATGCACTTGCAGGCCTCGTCACTTTGAACTCATTGTAAAGCAGGTATTAAATTAAACATTTTCCTACTCATTTCAGTACATTGTTTTCCGATTTGAAGGCTTTTTGGATGTTGTGTGTAACTTTTTTTTTGCATTCTTTGTGTATTGAGTGTGATGTTGCTTAGTGATCCACTCATTAAGGGATGAATGCAACAGTAAACAAAGCCTGATTACTTCTGCATGGACAGAGCAGTGCCATGGTCTGTCATTTTTTTGTAATCAGTACAGTCATGACACTCCTTGTTTTTCCAGATGTTATATCCGTTTCTGGGTGATGAGTAGAATTTTGAAAATTTTACCTCGATACAAAATGGGTATTCTGTGCACATAGTTTTAAAGTAGTCAGAGGTGAAGCTACATGTACCTTTATCATGTACATGCAATAGTGATGAAGTTGAAGCAAATTAAGAAATTGCAGGAAAAAAATTAAAATAAAAAAAATACGCACCATTGTGAGTCCAACACTCGGGTAAAGGGATTGTAGACTTTGAGCTTAAGAATAAATCACAAAGAGTCTTGTTGGATGTGAAATGGTAAGGGTTAAATATGCATATGGCTTTAGCTGGACCCTTGACACAGGAAGGTTTAACCCTAACGTTCCCCAACCACACAGAATTAAACTGTAGTAAAGTGTTTAATTCTGTGGGGATAGGTCTGGTAGGCCCATAACAGCCAGCTTTTGCATTGGGTTTGGCATACCTCAGAAAAACTAAGTCCAACAGCCTCTGTGCACAAAGTCCCAAATGGGTGTTTAACTTTGTGTGAATGGGGAAGGTTAGGGCCAGCAACCCTTGGGGGGTTAGGGTTAAGGTTAGTTGTCTGAGACTCTGATCTAACACTTCCAAATCCAGACTACATCAAGATTGTCCAGGCCAGCTGAGTGAATCAATATGTCAAAGACTCATATGAGAGTTTTTTGAGAATCAATTTCGCATTTAAGCCAACGTTAGCAATGCCTGGATTTGACCTCGTTTTGGAGTTTTGAATTCAAGTGGACGTTTGATGTATGGTACTCTGACATTTTGATGCAGGAAGGTAACTCTAGTACCACTATTTGAAGTTGAAGGGAGCTATTGAGATATATGAGCAAAGGAAAGTCTAGTAAGTTGCTGAATTAAAAGACGAGACAGCTAGAGTTTGCGAAGTCAACTGTTCCCAAATTTTGTCTCTGTCCATGCAGTGATAGTGATTCGGAGGGTAGACGTAGCCGGGACCACAGGGACGACTATATCCCCCTGCGGGGAGACTGGAAAGAAATGCAACTGGAGAAGGCACAGGCAAAAGGACGAGGGGGTAGGGACAAGGGTCAGGACAGGGGTCGTGGAAGGGGCAAGGGCCGTGGTAGAGGTCGCAACAATGAGGCTGGTGAATCCAACAAAGATAACAAACAGGCAGTGAAAAAAGTTGGAAAAGGAAGGGGAAAACAACAGTGAGTATAGATTTCCTTTTGTCTGATAAATGAAACTAGAAAAGACTTTGATCAGCACATAGCCTGTCACCTGTGTTATCAAATGTACTCAGGTATCTGAAGGCATCAACTTGTATGATTTATTGTAAACTTATCGAAGGCCAATTCTGCTCTTACAAATTGGACATCCTACAGATGAAACGATATGTTGCCAAGTGGCTTGTTATCACCAGATCAAGGCATGTCAGTCCCATTCAAATGATGTGCAACCTCTCAAAAGGGCTTTTCGTGTTAAATTAATACTTGATTTGAAATGTTCTTGTTTATCAGAAATATGAAAGGATTTGACTATCAAGATCCTCAGAAAGAAATGAGGATGCAGAAGCGAGCAGCCCGCTTCCAGGACCATCTGGGCGATTCAGCTTCCAAAAAGAAGCAAAGAACTCAAAAACTCACCCTGCAGATTGATGGCTTCTTGGTAAGTCCGTAACCAACATAACATTATTGCTGCCATGATGTTGCAGTATCCTTGGTGAAATTTTGATATTGACTCTTTTCAAAGTTTCAGTGTTTTGATTTGAGATAAGCATTACATCAGAAATCCCCAGCCTAAAATCTAGTAGCTTGCTCAGAATTGTATTAAATGGCAGTAGAATCTGTTTTCAAGAGAAGTCCAAGTCAAAACCTGAAAAAAAATTAAACATTTTGGTGCATCAGTATTCAAATTAAATTAATGTACGTAAACAGTTTGCAATGCATTGACCAATCACAATGCATGAAATCTCTCGACCCAATGCGTGTTTGGAAAGGGCCAACAGATGTCGCCCGTTGTGATTGGCCAAAACTGTCGGAGGCATATTATTGTGAATCCCCCATATTTGCAAAGAGCTTATTGACAGAAATTGTTTTTCATTTAGAAAGGATGTTCTTTCAGACTATTATTGGTAGCCGTTTGCTGTAAAACGTCTCAAGCTCTAAGCTACATGGCAGTGTTGCAGAACAGGTTCATTTTGCACTTAAAATTGAAAAATCAATAATTCAGTGTTTGTTTTGTTACAGCAAGGGAATGAAGAGGAAGATTCAGGCTGGTCCCTTGAACCAATTGTTGGTACCAGTCAAGAAATCACCAAGCAGTACTTACGTCTAACTACGGTAGGCCGCTCTGGCAAATTTTGACATACACCACAAATAAATGCTTGTTTGATAAAGAGTTACCTCGTACGTTTTAACCTTCTGTGCACCCTGGTCAAATGTTCACTTTCAAAAGAATTGTAGATCGCATTTTTGGGTCAAGGATTAGAGAGTGAGTAATGGAAGTCAAAAATCGCTCACTTTGTAATACCACCCATGCAGACTGAGGAAATAAGTGTTTCTTGTGATGCTGGAGGCAGTTTGCAGTAGGAGCCATGATCAGCCACTTACAATTCCTCTTCCTACATTTTCCTCAGGCACCTGAGGCATCGACAGTCCGTCCTGTCCCAGTTCTCAGAAAATCTTTGGCAATGGTCAAGGATCACTGGAGGACAAAGCAGGACTATGCCTTTGTGTGTGAGCAGCTCAAGTCCATCCGTCAAGATCTAACAGTAAGTTAAACGCACCAAGACTAAAGTGGTAATCACTTCAGTTCAGTAGTTTTTCAGCAGTTATTCTGTAATCTACAATTTTAAAAAATCGTTGTGTTGAGTGTGAGTCATAGATGTGGATTGACAATTTACAGCTTGATATCTTCAGATTCAAGTTTAAGGAAAAAGACAAACCCAATTTTATTAAGTGGTAAACTGCTGAAAGCCGTCAAAGATTTTAGTCGATTGATGTGGACGATATTCACAGAATACCTACTTTTTATGTACACTTTGTATTTCTTTTGTATTTAGGTGCAGTGCATAAGAGATAACTTCACTGTTGAGGTGTATGAGACTCATGCAAGAATTGCACTCGAAAAGGTGATTCCTACAGTTCACAGCTGGGGGAAGTACATGTAACCCACATTTGGAAGGCCTTTTGCTTGGACAAATTGTAAATTAATCACTGTATAAAACCATGTGGGACTTCAAGAAGGGGCATTCTAGTTGCTGTCAGTGATAGAAACCTCTTGGCAATTTACATTTCTGAGGATGAAGTTATGCAAGTAATTAAGGGGTATTCCTACTACCCCTACCCACTGATCAAGCCCAGTGGCATATCCGGCATCCCCCCCCCCCGACAGAAAGTTTTGCATATTAAATAAAGAATAGATGCGTGGAAAGAAAATATTCGGTATATGTGAGCACCAAATCCCTAAGAAAAGAACACCAGCAAATAAAAGCAAGGATATCGAGACCGTCAGAAAGGCTTTTGATTTTTTTCTCCACATCATGTTGAATGAGCCTGAAGACACATTCACTTTTGGATCCCCCCCACATAAACAGCTGGATACGCCGCGGATCAGGCCATTTCCCTGCAGTAAGCTAAAAGTCCCTCCCCTTTGGTATCGCATTTCATACATCAAAAAGGCCACACTCTGAATTGTTATGCACCAAAGTGTACATTGTTTTGCCTTCTTTTTCTGTGAACACAGGGTGACCGAGAGGAATTCAACCAGTGTCAGACTCAGTTGAAGGCCCTGTATGCTGAGGAGCATATTGAGGCCCAAAACATGAAAGAGTTCACTGCTTACCGCATACTCTACTGCCTGCTCACCAAAAACACACTCAGTATCCTTTTTTATATCCATCAGGCAGTTGCCTTCATTCAGTTTATGACATTTTGGAAAGGAGGGTTCAGCCAGTTGATGCTTAGTTTGAGATGATCGATTCACTGTGTTTGTGTGTTTCTGAAGCAAGTCACTCTGAGAAATACACCATCAATGCTCAGATGTATGGGATCTTGCCTAGTGATTTAGTCAGTTTTTAATCCCAAAAGTCTGATTTTCTTTTGCAGTTACAATGCTTTTTCTGGGTTCAAAATACACTGTGCAGTGTCTGTTACGCATCGATGCACAGTCAACAAGCTTTTAACATAAGAAGCCTGTAAGTCTACAGTACTGGAAATTGTACAGTTGCTTTTTTGAAAACAGGTGTCAAAATCAAAAGGATGGAATTATTTCCTGTAGATTCTGATAACTGAACCCAATGAACGGGACATAGAAATGAGAATTGCAGAACCCCAGAGTGGGAGAAAGAGGGAGAACTGACCAGTGCAGTATTTTATGGTGCATCGAACAACTGTAGTCTTCATATCTACTGTTTTACAATCTTTAACCCCTGACCACAGGTCTTTCCACTGACTTGGTTAACTTAAAACCTGAAATCCGTAAGGACCCAGTAGTTAAGCATGCGTTGGCCCTCCGCTCAGCCTGGGCCCTGTCGGACTATCACAATTTTTTCAAGCTGTATCGTTGTGCACCGTGCATGGGTGCCTATTTGATAGACATGTTCCTGGAGAGGGAGAGGAAAAGTGCATTGTCTGCAATTATCAAATCGTATGTATTGTTACTAAATAGTTCATTGCTATTTCTTACATGTTCATTTCAGTCATACCTACATTTTGTTTTCTACAAACACTGCTACAGAGATATGAGTATTCAGTGTGGGATTTAATGAGCACTAGGTTTCAAATGAAGATTGGTTTTTCATTCATGATTTTAAATGACTAAGTAATCCAAAAGACTTCATTCATTTGTTGCTCCAAGAACAATCACATTTCCCAAGTGGTTATAGAACATGGAAGTATGAATCCACAATGTCTCGTTCAAAATCTATTTAGAAATGTTTGTCTTACTGATTGTTATACTTAAAACTAAAATTCTAATTTGAAAAATAATGCATTTTTTTTAAACAGCAAACTCAGGTAAGATCTTGCATGAGAAAAGTTAGTTGTCATTACATTTGTTATAAGCAGGTATAAACCTTTTCAGTTCATTTTTTTCAACTTAAAACTCAAAATTTGGTAAGTATACATCGTTTTTAGCTTTGGGGTAAGTACAGTGTCATTTAAAAGATGAAAACTTTTCACCTAATTTTTCTTGCAGTGCATACCATTGTGCTAAAACAACAATGTCTATCACAGTGGCATGCATAATTTGTGTGCAAAGTGCAATACATTTATTTCATTCCAGGAAAACAATTTTTGAGAGTAAGTATTTCTGTCATGCTCATCTCCTGTTCATGCATGCATAATTTTTTTTCTTGTGCTAACACGTTTCTTCCCTTGTGTGAATGAATGTAGATATCGGCCCAATCTGGATGTTGCTTTCATTGAGCGTGAGCTGGGGTTTGAGAGTCCCGAAGCATGCCTTGTGTTCTTGAAAAGCTGTGGGGCAACACTGATGGGAGACGACACTAAGTTGGACTGCAAGCTGAGCATGGCCATCTTGGCCTCGCTCTAGGGTGGCTGGGGTGATGGGTGGTGCCATTTTTCCCCCCTCAGAATTCAACCTGCCTTCTAAATCCAGTGGTGTTTAAGTCTCGGTTTGATAAAACCTTCAAATGGACCATCAGCGTATGCAGAAGAATAGCAGCCATCACCAGCGCGCCATCCTGAGATCCAGATAGCTCCTCTCAGATTGGGACCTTTACCTCATTCAGTGCTTAGAAAGTATGTCCTCCACACAGTGCATAAAAGGCCAGATTCTCCACCAAACACTCATGATTTCCAGCTGTGATCCAGCATAAACGCACTGGAAATTGAATACGTTTAACCTAGATGTTTTGATAATCTGTTCAACCCAGATGGCACGTTTTGATATGATTGCCTCATTCATCCCAGCTGCATTTCTCACAGACTCCACTTATTGAAGCATTAAATCGGTGAAGCGTCACATCAAGGCGTGCATTTCACCTGTTCTTACTAAAGTGAACTCAATGTCTTAAAGTGTGGCTGAGCCCTGGAGTGTTTTTCAAATTTGCCATGTGGATTTCATGCCATTGCAACGTCAGTTCGAGAGAAACCCAGTTCAAGAGAGGGGATGGAGTCAGGGGTTTGAAGTTGCAGGAACACTTCCTGTGTCATTGTACCTGATAATTCATCCAGCTGATTTTCGTAGGTCACACTGAAGTTCAAGGTTTTGAACAACTTAATCTTGTCTCAAAGTGATGCCACTGAACAGCGAAGGAATCATTTGAACCGACAACATTTCACTTCCAACAAAGTCTCCTGCAGCTAGAAATGACTATGAACAATATTTTGATGTCTTCTGATGTTCACCTTGGTGCTCCCTCACCTGCTGAGCTGTTGATGCTTTGCCATTCTTCCAGTTTTGGATTGGCACCTACCCATCTCCCAACCCAACCAGCCATAAGATAACGTTTTCTTTGTCCAATATGGAGTTGAAATGTTTTTGTTTTATTTTTGTTTTGATGCTTTTCTCAATCTTTTCACAGGAAGATCAGCGTAACACCTGCTACCTTTATTCATTTCACAATGATCTGTGCAGCAGGTAGAAATGACAAACTTTCCAAATATGTGCTTTCACTTTATCAGTCTTCCTCATCTTCCTCCCCCCCCCCCATTTTCTGAGTGGTCCGTTTTTCTTTGCAGAAATCGTGTTGTTAATTTCGTACGGCCTTGTGACCAGTTTATTTTTATCTTTTGCCACAAGGCCCATAATAATTCATGTGTGTCAGCTTGCAAATAACAAGTAAGAAGGTGCTTGTTTGTATCCTGTTAATTTTCTCGAAGCATGGACACATTTATATTTGATTCTCCGAGAGGGAAACGAGCAATAACAAAAAGCCGGGGTAATTTTTGAAAATTGCTTAATTTTACAGTCCTTGTAACAAATGGATGCTTTGCGACACTTGGTGACGGCTGACAAACAAGTCCTTTTCCACAGATGTGCGAGTGCTCAGAACTACCTTGCATACCCAGAACTGTGCACACATGCCCAGAATTGCCAAAAAGGACCAGTTTGTCTTCTGCCACCAAGTGTCACAAAGTCTCTCTTTACTATTTCCTTTTAGTGTTTTATATGTCACATGCTATCACAGATGCTGCATGTGTCATTTTTCATTGCTTAGTTGACAGTGCGAGCTTTGAAAATGAAAGTGGTCTTATCTGAAGAACCTCATATAGATGTTTTATATATTGAGAATATTGCAAGAATTCTGCTTCTCCAAAAGGAGTAGTTTTAAATTGATTCCTATATCACAAGGCACTAATTCCTCAAATTGAATTATTGAAAATTTGTACAAATGAATTGTCCATGTTGTAAAATGGTGATATGGGTGTTAATAGAGATGTTGACAGCGATTTATATGAAAAAATTGCAAAGTTTCTCCATTTTGAACTGATGTGTCAAATTTAAAATGTATTCGATGAAGATTGCAAGACCCTATTGACCTTTTTTGACTGTTTGGTACACATTTGCCATGAAGCTAGGGGTGTATGTCAGAGGAAGAAATTGTGTTTGGTATCGTCAAGAACGGAACTCGAATGGGGTTTGATGCCCAGCAAGTGGAAGCGCAGTGGTGTAGCGACATTCAAGTTTTCAGCTTGTACGGGACTGGATGTGCACGAGGGGAAATGCCACTGCTGCTGAAATTGTGGTGATAGAAAATAGAGCTATGGAAGGATACCAGCATTGCCATTTGTCATCAACATGTACATTGTCAGACAGAGGTCCTTATTTCTTGTGTTGATTACCCCTTAATACCTGCTTTTATATTCTTTGTAGTGCCTGTTAAACCAGTTATTGTAAGTGCTGCTGCGGAGACTGTGCCCAGAATTTTTGTAGGCCAGATACATGTAGCTAGATAAATGATACGTGTACTGCTTTTCTACCCGAGCAGATTGTACATGATACCAACCACTGAGCTGCCTTTTTCTAGATTGAATTGGGGAAGGAAACCGATGTTGAGTTTATGTTGAATTTCGATAAGTTGTGTGTTATTCTTATGCACCGTGTATCCTAAATCTTGCAATCTTCACCTGGCTGACATTTTGGATGTGATATCATGTGACGTATTCCAGTGTTATTTATTTTTGTTTTATTCTTTGCCCTGGCAAATTGAGTCTTGATGTAGGCTAGACATACGCATACCTTTCATAAAATTTACACAGTGTCTGCTTTTATCGATGGTGGTAAAAAAGGTAAGCCAACATTTTTAAATATATGGTTCACGCGTGTTCTCCGTGATGTTAAGCTTTCATAAAGACTAACATGGCTTATGTGGTTGACCGTACCGACCCTTAGAAGGGTCAGAAAACTTGCTTTAACATGTCGCTCATGAATTCAAGTACGTGTATTGGGCAGCATTTTTCCAAGGTCAAGAATGATCATGAAAGGTTGCCCAGAGTGTGTCTTGAAATAATAAAATATTCACTTCAGAAATACAAGTATTTATGATATGCGGGGATATGTTTTTTGACACCTTTTATTGTCGGACGCTCCGAAATTTACGACGCATGTCAACATAGACTTCTCACCAGTCCCTGTGATGGCTCTCCAATCAACGATGAAGGTTTAAGTTTAATATACATTTCAAAGGCTTTTAGTTCACATGACGTTTGAATTAGTCGATGTTATATATTGTTATATACATGTAATTGTTATATATTGTAAAGTGAACCTTGTGTAGAAAAAAAAAAATCGTAGAAAGGAATGCATTTTGTTCGGTGACTGTTTCATACTGTGTGTATAGACAGGTTGGATTCCATCCCTCTGCTGTGAAATAGCCGGCTTTGAACTGTGTCTTATGGGGGAGGAGGGCGGTATATAAGGAATACTTGTATAATGACTTTATGGTGCACTTGTCCTCGACCACTCTTTGAGGAATACATAAAACCTATAGATCAAGGGTTGGGGGGGGGGTTAAAGGCACCCCGTTTCAGGAAGAGCTGTGTAAACTCCCCAAACACAATAGTAAACGTAGGAATGATTCATGTACAATGTACGTGTAACTTGCAATTTTTCAAAATAGTTCCACATAAATGAAATGTTAGTTGGCAGCTACGCTATTCGCAAACTTTATTATCTGTAAGCATGTACAATTTACACGGGTATTCAACATCTTGCGGAGCTGGAGCGAAAAGCCGTTTTGAAGTCGTAACCCTGAATATTGCAGTAATTATTTCTAGCTAGGCATTACCATGAATAGCGGTTATGCTGTACACACCCTTGAACTTTGAAGGATGAATCCACCATTCTTGACTGCATCGACTTTTCTGAGGATTTGAGAAGGCCGATCCATCGAGGAAGACCTCCAGCGTTTGACTTCAGTGCACATTTACAGTTTGGCGCCAAATCAAGTTAACTGCGTTGTGAATGTGGCGTTTTGTTTGAAAGTTAAAATTAAAATCAAGATGTCACTGGTAGGGGCTACAGCAGGCCCCGGGCCTTGCATAAAGTGGACGGAAACAGTCAGCTCTTCGCTCTTTTTATTTACACCGAATTAAGCTTCAAACTTGACATCCAATTTGGTACGTGTCACCGAAAACTGTCGAAGTTGATGGGACTAGCCATCGTCAGTCCTGCAGGCTTACTCTCCAGGATTTCCTTGACCCGGTTGTTCCTCCGCTGCCTCACCTTGAAGGAGCGTACCCAGGCAGCGTCCTTGTTTGGCCGTGCCTGACTCTGTGTCCCAGACCCGACGAGATTGCTCCCAGACTTCAGGGCTTTCTCCGACGGAGAGGGGGATGAACCTTTCAGAGAAAAAATCTCCTTTGACGCTGCAGACAGAAAAGAAGTTTTCATCATCGAATACTTTCGTCCAGCAGAACAAATGGCGTAACCACAGGATGAGGAAGTATAGCTGACTACATGTATAGGCCTACATTCAGTTTTTGTCAGTTCACCGCAAGCCGGATTCGAACCTGCGACTTTCAGACAATATCACGTTTCAGCTTGGGCCCCAAATAAAAACATTAAAGTGGATAGGACACAGTATTTTTTCTAAGTTCTAACAAAAGTTCGTATTGGAACGATTTTGGCATTGTGTGTACACCGCATACCTGCAGCCCTGGTGTTGTAAGGGTTGGCTGGTTGGTCTTGTAGCAGATGTTTCCGTGCCATGTTTTCCGTCCGTGCACTGGGAAGCCAGTCGTCAGTTACACGTCCTGGTGGGTCAGTCTCTGCACCGGGCAATGACTTCGGTGTTTTGGCAGGAGCAAGCTCGACATTCAAAGGGGAGACTGCCGGTGAGGACGGAGTCTGACAGGGAAAGCAACAAAATGAACAGTAAGTCTAATAAGACTCGGTATACATGTGTTCCTCAAACAGTAACAACAGTTTTGTCGAAGAAGTACCTGAATAACACAGAAGTGTCATGCATAAAACTTTGTTTCTGGTAACTGGCCTCTGCGATATCGATATTTTGCACACGACGTTATGAAAATACAAAACTGCAAGCATTAGTGGATATTAGTCTCCGAAATTTTCAAAAATCGGTTTGAGAAAATGTTTTATGCGAGTGGTTGAAGTTTCCATTGGGATGAAGTACTGACCGTGGGGCAGCCATCTTGCTTTTCTACAATTCAAACCCATGTAACCAAACTGAGGCTGAAGGGAAAATAGTCTGTTAATGAATACATTTATGTCGATCAACTCTAATCAATGTGAGGTTATATCACTATTGCCAATGAGAACAGGGAACAAGACAAACATGGCAGCATCAAGACAAGGCCATGAGAATGAAAGTTGTAGATTTGCATATGGAACATTTTGGAAAAGCATGAGGCTTTTTCATTATTTTGAGCAACCATCTTCCATGATGTAATGCAGTCTACATGTATTTATCGGAGAAGGAAAGAGTTCAATTACATGCGGATGCCAATCGACACCCTGTGCAGAGTACATTTTGAAGTGTTTTTATGTAAACAACTTGGCTTTTCCCTCCTAAATTTAACTTTTCTGGACATGTTTTTGCTCTCTGAAGGCTAATTGGTCACTGTAGCGAATAATATGGAACTCTTCCCAAGGAGAATTTAATCGTTCGTGCAGTAGGGGGCCTAGGTAGGTAGGCTATAGGTTTGTTCATTATCAGCTAGGCCGATGCGCATTTTATACTCTTTTACTGCTGCCATATGATTTGGGTCTTGAAATGTACTTTGATAGCCTTTTTGTGAAAATAATGACAATTTCTGTAAATAATGATTTTTTTTCAGAGGGGTGTTTTAGAGCATGCGGGCGGTGGACGCAAATCCATCATGGGCTTCTCATGGGCCAAGTGTCACACCCCCTTTTCATCATGTCCTCTGCTCCCCTAGAATAATAGAAGTGAATGAAGTCGGGCTTCCATCACTATCGGTCTTTTCGAGGCCAAACTCGGAAATTTCCGAGCCCCGGGTTTGAGGAACAGATTGCTGTTTCTACTTTCCTATTTGCACTGAAGCATGATCAAAGAAAACGTCCACACGTAATCACGGGCCGATGTTTTTGTATGGCTGTCTCCCGCCTGAAAGGTACACGCATCATTAGAGTTAGACCTCATTTATTGCTTAGTGGCGTGTCACTGCTGCAGGACATTTTTTCGAATGGTTAACGCTTCGGCAACGGGACGTTTTGTATTGTTGCAATCCCACCGCCGCGACCGTCGTAGCAACAATAATAGTGAATAGCCTAAGTTCGTTGATTGGGTTGAGCAACGGTACTGCAAAACAGGGCTACCGTGTATATGGAGTTCCATGCCTATGTACTTACTTGCCGTTCCATTACATGACGTAAAGGCCATGGGTCGGTTTTGTTTATGCCTTTTTCATTCCTACATGTAGGCCTACTCACTTCATTGCATGATCTAATGAGTAGTTTTCTGATACGGTTTGGTCTGGATTTAGCCTTCCACGGGGCCTTATAAACGTTCCCCACGGAAGGACGGATATCGGCGATGTGTGTTACTTCTTGTCTCTTTTTTATTAATTGCCAGAATAGAAGTGGACCAATGGTGACAGGTGGCGGTTGCCATGACGAGCCTCCATTGTGGAAATATTATCTGAGCTATTAATCAAAATAATACGATATGACCTGACAACAGGGTCCGTGACCACACAAAAGTAGTATATATTTGAAATAGTCTGGAGTTGTGTTCTGTGGCCCAGTTCTCGGCACTCTTTTTGTAAAGTCGTGGGGTTGTTAACTTGTTATTGACACGTTCAATCTACCCGGGGGTCTACCTTGTAAGTGATTCATAGCAAATCGGAAGACAACCGTTTAACAGCGTTGTAAGCAGTTTCTGATTTAGATTGAAGTGATTCTGATTTTTGCCTTGTGTAATGCGAAACACCGTGATGAAACTACACATGTACATGTAATTTGAAACATTTAACATTTGACTTTCCCGTGGTTAGCTCATCTTTGAATCAGCTTTAAACCCTTCAGGATGTTGTATGCATTTTCATTTCAAAAGTGTAATTGTAGAAGTTTGGTATTTAATGAACAAAATTACTTGACAAGAAAGAAAAACTATTAAACTACGCCTTGGAAAAGAATTTTACAGAGATTAAAATGTAAAATATGGTGTTATTTTTATCAAGCATTAAAAACATTGCACAAATTCCCGTTGTTTTTCTTTGATGCCATTCATGTCCCAATTAAAATATGACTGAAGGTGTTTCTTTTATTATAGGCCTACGTTTAAACAAAAGTATAGTATAACAGACTATAAAAGTATAAGAGTACCTGTAGTGAGTACAGTATGTTTTATTTCAGGCACATAAAAAGGTTTAAGAAGAAAGAAAATATTTACGTAATTATTTTGCACTATGAAAATTAGATTATGCATATTTTTTAGTTTTTTACGGCCTATGTTCCATGAAATGCTTTTACTCCATGGTCAATGAAAGGCTACCTCTATGTCTGTTGGGGTGGAAACAAAAACTTCAACTTGCCAGGGGAAAATTTTCAAAGTAACAAAAAAACGCACATTAGACAGAATGTTCATGCTGACTTCGGGTAGGTCTTACGAGAAATATCTCTCCCCGCGGGGCGCGTGCTGTCACTAACCTGTTGCTGAGCGGTTTTCGAAGACCTCACGCTGCTGGCAGATGTAGAGAAACGAACTCCAGTCGTGCCCGTCTTCAACTTGACTGGGGGAAAGAAGCCGTCCTGCCCCACGCCCCTCACGTTGAACTGACCCCTCGGTCGCAGCTCCACGTTTTTACCAAAGTCTACGATTTTCGTCCCAGCCGGTTCCCTGGACAAGGGACTGCGAGGGGTCCGAGTACCAAACTCATTCGTGGTGCTGCTGCTCGTGGGTGCCATGCGGGATTTCTTGGACTGTTGATGGGCAGGATAAGTGTAGAGTGACCGGTCACATTCTTCAGTCACGGCTGGTACGGAACGGTTGAGAGCTACTTGAAGTGTCTGTCGGGCCACAGCCGGACGTGTGGCCGAGGGAACACTGACGGTCAACTTACTCATGATCATATAATGTCACATCAGAACACCTCCTCACATAAACCGATTCCTCTAACAGAGTTCATCATGACAGTGATACTTCAAATGCCGTCCACCTTTCATAGGAGCGATAATACGCCGGTTTCACACCTTATCCCTCGGTGTCAGTTCCCTGAAGTCGGTCTTACATTTTCTCATGGCGTCTGTTGCCTGGTACCCAGAGAGTTTGAGCCGATATGGTCCTGCTTGGATCATGGATGACGTACCAGATTAGCCCTGTTCTGCAATTTGCACATCAATGGAGGCATTGATCCGTTCCCAGTGCCTACATTGAGAATAATGGCTTCCCAGCAGGTAGGCAATGTCGAAGAACTTCAGCGGGCACAGTTCCTTGTGACGTCATAAGATAAAATCAATAGTGCTTAAGACGACTTCCCTCGTTTGTGGACCATCGAAGAAGTGTCGGAGACAAAAATATTATTCTGCAATCTCAAATGTTTATCTTGACAGAATTCCGTAGCGCGTTTGCACATTTTGTATCCCACGCGTCACAATTTTGAGTTTAATTTCCAAACGTGAACTTCCATGAACTTCCTGTCAGTCCGAAGGAAAAATGTTAGGGTTGCTGTGAAAATATCCTCGTGCGATTTTATACCACAGTCATCTCTGTGAAGTGTTAGTAGTTGTCAAAAGAAGCTGATAATGGATAGTGATGTGATTCTTTCGCAGAACGACAGAGCTGCTCTCTGCTACAACGAGCACTGTTGGCGAGTGTCTTTTCGAGTACTGAAGCTGTATACTCGCTGTTGTCATAGAGAACCACCATTCAAATTTCGTGTTGTGCGAAATGTTATGGCGTTCGCTTGATAACCCCTTGGCCTTCTACACGCGCAGTGCTCCGAGAGAGATCTTTGAACCTTTTAACGCCACACTCCATGTGATTTATTAGTACACAGTAAAAGAAACTTACCGAAATAACCTCACGTATAGGCTGAAGGCCTACATCTGAAACAAAAGGAGTCGGTTTGTCACTTTTGTTGAATCCTTGTTGCATAATTTTGTCAGGTTTCGTTTTGATGAAATTATATGCTGAAAGAGTTTCCTTGATTGGAAACAGAAGTGCAAGTGAAAAGAATTGTAACCTATATCCAGCCGGTTGGCTTTTTAACTTCATAAAGACATTATGATCTTCGCAGCATCTTGATACACGTATTTCGCACCATTAAAATAACATATAAAAATTGTTTTATCAAGTTGCTTCGGTAATTATGTGGACGGTTATTATCATTTAACAAGGGCGGATGTCTGGAACCGAATTCTTGGGAGTGAACTTGTTTTGTTTTTTTGTTAGGGGCATGGCCCAAAAAGTTGGAATTGATTTCATGCAACTTGTAGGGCCCACGGCCTCTCTGAGGGATACGCTACATTTTGGGGCTTTTCACACGTTTTTGGAAGGGAAACGAAATAGACCCCCAATTCGCCTTTCATTTATTCCTCCCGAAAATGTCTCCTTTTGCGGGTAGCTCTGAAAATACAAGGTCCCTTCAAGGTAATTCCAACGACCTTGTTGTAAAGGTGTTCGACTATAAACTGTGTATCACCAATTTACATGGAGTGTAGCAACCAAGCTCCGGGGAAATACTGGCATTAAACTCGTGCCTATCACAGAGTTGGGCCGTATTGACCCGCACTACATGCACTGCAAAATGTGCACCCAGCCAGCTGTTGACAAAATCCATTGGCCCAAAATTCGACGTGCTGACACCACGGTGAAGGTCAATATCAAACATAATAAAACTGCATAAATTACACTCACAAGCTATTGGGATGTGTTCAGAAGAGGAGGCGCGTGACCATGGAGAGCCATAGCAACCGCTTGTGGCAATGAATACAGAAACACGGTAATAGCTGCTTTCAGCCATCACAGGCATAGTACAGAGGTGTATTGTCGAGGATGAACGCCCAAACAGTAGGTAAATACGACTGTCTTTCTGGTGTTTTCACATTATTTTGATCGTAATTCAACATGTTAGAATGCCATAGTGAGTCCTTAGCATATCCTTGGGAAACTAGTACGTTTTGTGTAAACCACGCTAGCCCTGAAGTAGGCATGCCGCTGGTTTAGCTTTGAACGTCATAAATGCAGGCCAACAAATTCCACTGTGAAATGAGCCACATTGTCACCCTATAATCCAGTAAACACACTTTTAATAGAAGATGGTGCTTTAGGGCTGTGAAATCAGACTGTATGTAGTATAGGCTTAAACAAGTGGGTGTCATCTGAAGTTACAGTCCTCCATGTAAAGAGGTAAACTCATGTTTTTTGTTGTAGGCATGTAGGAATGCCGACTTCGTAGGAGTATCGTACATGTACATATATATACTTTACTCTTCAAAAAACGGACGCTCTGTTTGAGGCCAGTACAATTTTGGAGACTCGTGGTAGTTTCATTTAACTTTGTTTGCTGACTTGATAATGGTCATAAGTTGATAAAAATAAAAGACAAGTTCACACCATAACATGTATAACTTTAGACCTGTTAGATGCCAAAAATAAGAATTTGAAGGAGGAATACCGTATGAAAGAAATTTATAGTTGAGAACAAATTTCAGGAAAACCTTCAGAGCTGTGCACACGACCGGTGTGTAACGCCATAGCTGGGCACATCCCGGTCCCAGGCTCACCCACCTGATTCAAAATCATCTTCGAGTAATAACCTACGTTAAAGTGTAAGTTATGTAGGGCCTACGGTACTCAAATTTGCCTCGCCATAAAGCATAACATCATCCTGTCCCTGCCAAACTGTGTTTTTATGATGCAGGTCCAGCTCCCGTCATGAATCCGGAACCATACAATGCCCAAGCCCCTGTTTATCATCAGGCTTCACTACCAACGGTTGTTGGTCAACCTTTCGAACACCAGCCAGTGGTTGAACCAAAGACCAGGCGAGAAATCTCCTTCTTCGCAGAAGAGGATCTGTATCTTATGAGTCCTCCTGTGAAGGTTTGATTTCATCCTCATCTCAAAATCTCAAAATGTAGCTATCTTAAAATGTAACAACCCAATAACATGCTGATAGAAAATTTGGATGAGCATTGGGCCTTCATTGTGGGTTTGCTTCTCAGGTTTATGTCGAATGTATCATTGCCGTTATTCTTTGGTTTTTCTTTTTTAATGAACAGGTTGAATATACGGACATTTTTAAAGAGGCAGACGGCGCAAATAGCTTCGACAAACTTGCTGAAATTAGTGGATTCGTCTTCAAATGGACACAGGTACTTTGTTGTTACTTCATCCAATTTACCTGACGTCTATAACTTCTCCGTAATTTGTTTCACTGAATTCATTAAACCTCAGTTTCTTAACCACCTCTCATGTTTTCCTGTTCTACCAAATATGTCTACTGGAAGGAAAATAGTTTTCTTATCTTCTCAATTGTATTTCGTGGGTTCCATAGTACCAGAATTTCTATTTCAGATTTCTAATTGCAGGTTTAATATTTCCTGGTCGTTGGGTGAAAGAGGCATTGAAATAAGTCAGTTACCGAAATAAAAATCCCGAGTATGTAACAGTGCTTAGGTATCGATTTTGCATGATAACCAGGGAAATTATTGCGACGACGTGCCTTGCCTCAGGGCACAAAATGTAAGAAGCTGACGGATCAGAGTTCATAACTATCAAACCTTCAAGTTTAACTTTATGCCATTTATTTCCCCTCCTTGTCTCCTTCAGCTAGGAATATACCGTTTCTTCAGCATAATTCTAGGCATTGTTCTGGTGTTTTTCTGGGGGATCATTTTTGCCCTCATCAACTTCATCACGGTATACACCATCCAGCCCGCCATCAAGCTATACTTCGTCTGTCTGCGGCCGGGTGCCCTGTTATACAGAGCAGTGGTGCGTTCTTACTTGGACCCACTGTGGCAGTCCATCGGCCTGGTATTCTCCAGGGTGAACGGCAGGTTTACCTTCAACCTCAAAGGCCTTCAAAATCAGAAGACCGCGCAAGCCGCCATCGAGGAAGTTTAAAATGCAGGCTGGGGTTTCGAAAAAGCTGTCGGAAGAACATACCGGTAGCAAACCACAGTGACCCACTTTAAAGAATGTTTGTAAAGCACCCATGATGTTGCTGTGTTTGTGTTGTGTCAACATAGCTGATAACTCGTGTGACAAGTTCTTAATGTGGTCCATAATCGTGTTGAGTTACTACTCATAGGAAGGTTTAACTACAATGGCATAACAAAGGCATTTTCTTTGGGGGTGTGCCAGTCAATTTGCCGACTTGTAACTTGTTCAAGTTAGCCAACCTCCGGTGCCGTGTAAAATTCACAAAGTGATGCGTGGTACACTACATTTCAAACTTCTGGGTAAATGCTGACGGCCAACGTTTATCGTTTATGTATTATTTTTTGGATTCATTTGCCGATCGAAGCTGTATTTGCCGACTGGAATTAATTGAACACCCCTCGGTCGCCACGCCCCTGTTTAACTATCATGGTGTATGTTGTTGAGATTTCTTTTCAGTATAATAGGAGAAAGCAACGCTTTGGTTGTGAATTTTATATTTTGTGAATGAATGGTTTGATAAATGGGGCATAAATTTCAAAGGAAATCGGGGCTCATAGTTTACCTTAGTAAAACCACTATGACAGAGATAGGCCTAGTGGGTCTTGCTCCGTTTAATATCATTTGAACGTGTCGGTACTAAAAACAGTGTGTCTTTTCGTTCGGATTTTTTTTTATAATAGACTTGGTTGACTTTTTTGCTACAAAGAAGCAAGAGTACTTTAAAAAAAAGTACTCTTGGTATGTTATTATAAGACATGTCCAGACAATATAAAGCGAAGGCAGAGGAAAGGGCTAGTTGTAGCTCATGTTGTGTGTTGTGTTTTGTATACTAAAATATTTTAACGGTTCACCGTCCTCCGGTTTGCTCGCACAAAATGTCACGTACCACATTTTCTTCCTCAGAAAAATTTATGCCCAGAACGAGTTGAGCAAAAACATCAATCATCATTTTTTGCTTGTGTGTTGTCGATGCTGTAACTTTTCAACTGATATATACACCAACTCTTATTTCTTCACTCTGGAAAAGATAAAACTTTTTTTTTTGCATCACTGAACATTTGCCAAGTAAATTTGGTAAATTTCATTATACAAATGACAGGCAAGGCGACATTACTTTCGTCTCAAATTTATGGCGAGATTTTGAAGAAACACTTTATTACAAAGACAAAATTTTAATGTATGAACTTGAATAATTAAAGTTAAGCAATGTTGAATGAAAATGCAATCGACATCATAACGTTTTTAACCACGTTTAAAATTCGAAAACATTTCGTTATAGTTAGAGTAAGTTTGAAATTAGGCATTTGGTGGATGCAGGGATAAACAAGACAACATATTCAGGTTTTTTTGTTTAAGCGCACAAATAATTCTGATATACGGTGTAAGATTTACAAGTACCTGCAAGAAGGAAGGTAGATGGTTTCAGTATGGCTTCCGTATGGTTTGAAATTTTATTGTCCAGCCTTTGTGGCATTTGTAGAAGGGAAAATTATGAGTATGACATGTGTCAAGTCCTTCAAAACCTGTTGGGGTTCTGGATAGTCATGTCGAATCAGAAAAGGTAGAAACCATTCGCAGCAAAACTGGTGTCTCCAAATTCCACAAGTTTCTTGGCCCTGGTAGCTATAACCATATATTAGCATATTGCTAAGTTATGGTGAAATGGAATAGAACTGGAATAATTTATCTGCTTTTAACGTTGTAGGAATCATTTACAAACAGGACACGCTTGTTACCAAGAAATGAACAACGTAAACTTGTTTTATATTGAGGCTGCTAAAGATTTTACTGTATGCAGAGTCATTGCTTGGCAACTGCAATAAAAGCAGACTGTACGCACAACAGTGCACAAATAGTTTCGGTTCGGCTATTTTTTCAGCGCGCAGAGGCATCGTTTCGATTCAATAATTAGCGTTGTCGCCGACAGCGTACATCAACGGCTTCAACAGTTTCAATAGTTACAGGTATGAAAGCAAATTTAAAACTTTAAGTGGAATTAGTCTGTACAAAATGTGACACAATTTTTACCACCCATGTCAAAGTGTATACGAGGCCTAAGCACATTACTTAGTATTTATGTTCATAACCCAGGCTTTGCAGTAATGATAATTGGGAGCTCGAATAAAAATACATGATAATTAAGGGCCCAAGATATTTATTCAGGAAAAACGTACTATTAGGCCCTATGTAGAATTCCAAGTAGCTTTATATCAAAGCAGTTTCCTGTTACTAGAGTGAATTATCAGCCGTCACTGTGATAATACAACTCTGTACTGATCGTGCCTCAGAATTTTAGTAGAATTTTAGTCCAAAACCAACTCGGTCCCTATGGAAAATGTACATGTGCAGAAAATCAGCGGCGCTGGCTCAAAACCAATCCAATCCAATAATTTCCAAACATGCAGTCATCTCGCGCATTTCCCCATAGGGACAGAGTTGACTCGGGATGACTTGCACCCGCGTCATGCTGTTGAAAAAAAGTTCAAGCCGCGATGTTTAATACGTAGGTCTTTGACCACCACTGCCATTTTCAATCATTTATGTTTAGAATATGAAAGCCAAAGGGTTCGCAATGAAATGCGTGTATCAAGCGAAACAGGTCCTAAATTGTCTTATAAAGCCTACGTAATTAAAAGGACAGGTGATATGTTTTCTGCAAGTCCAAGTATGACCTCCTGGAATCCCAATAAACGTGATACTACCCCCAGATTCAGCTTTGACCTAAGTTTATGGGCCTACACGTATACCCATCTTCCTACTTGAGCTATGATCACTCTTTAAAGGCCTATATCCGTCGCGTCGAACCCGGAAATATTGGGCTCATATCTAGTCAATTTCAAGCTTGTCATATAGGCTTACATGGAAGACACCCTCCTTTGATTTTACATTGTTCATAATTTATTTGGTCATTGTTGTATGTTGCAGGTCTTGTATAAGTTACGTCCGTCATGAATCCAACTCTGCATCATGGCCAAGTCCCTGCTTATCAGACATTCCCGCCAGCTAACGTTGCTGGCCGCCCCGCTGATCTACACCCACGGGCAGAAACAAGGAGCAGTTTTTTCACTGAGGAAGACCTGTATCTCATGAGCACTCCAGTCAAGGTATGATCATGATTGAATTCGCTGTCTAAAAGCTCTTGCATGGTGACGCCCCTTCACGCGAAGAGTACATTAATGAACTATGGCGTGGTGAATTGGAGAGAATACAATGCAGGATGGCGCCATTTTCAAGTTTATATAACGATACTATTTTTGTTTTTTAATGTACAGGTCGAGTACACGGAAATTTTTAAAGAGGCCGACGGTGCCAATAACTTCGATTTGCTTGCCAACGTTAACGGATGGGTCTTTCAATGGACACAGGTTTGTACCTTGATCCCCTCCAGTATGAAATCGGAATTAGTTTCAAATCTTGAGTTATAGGCTAATATTCCGTGGTAGGTGGGGTAGTCGGATCCATGTCGTGTGTTAGACGATTGAGTCAGGGCTTTCCTTGGTTTGCTAAATGTTTTCATAGGGAATAGATTTACAGGTGTTGAAAATGAGTGAACGAAAATGTTTCCTCGTCAAGAAGGCGCAGGATAAGCTTTTAGGCGAGATGCGGTATCGATTCTCGACCCTCCTGGCTTTATCCGTCAGTGACAGGTGAGTGGGACGTGTCTTGCTCCTGGGCATCATGACGCTTATCGGGAGGGGGGTTTGCCCCGGAGACATTTTTATTTTTTACAAGTATTATATTTTCAGGATTTGAAAGCACTGGCTTTAACAAACAGATACTATCCGATGATTCTTTTACGGGTGAAAAATATTGGACAGTAAATTTGGGGGAAATCCGTTTCCCTCCCCCCCCACACACAAGACCTGGATACGTCACTGACTGGAACGGCCAGGTCAAATGTCATAACGTCATGCAAAACAAACATTTCCTTCTTCACTGTCCTCTGTTGTAGCTGGGCGTGTACCGTTTCTTAAGCGTGGTCCTCGGCATTATTCTGGTCTTTCTATGGGGGATCATTTTTGCCATCATCAACTTCGTTACGGTGTACATCTTCCAGCCCACCATCAAGCTCTGCTTCATCCTGATTCGGCCGATTCACATGCTCTATAAGGCTCTGGTGCGTTCTTTTATGGACCCATTGTGGGAGTCCGTCGGCCTGATCTACTCCCGAGTGAGGGGTAGGGTCGCACTCAACCTGACGGGCCTCCCTCAGAAAGAGCCGATCCTTCAACCCACAATCGAGGAAGTGTAAAACTGTAGGCTCAGGTTTCCATTCAGTTGGAAGAATTTGGCAGCATTACCCAACCGAGTAGTGTTATGACATGCTGATGCGAAACCGGCAGTTCCTGGTTTCGGTCTAGTTAAGTTTTGTTTATGTTCACATGAGTGTAAAGTTACAAGTATGGTACATGCAGATTAATTAAATGCGACGGAAATGCATCAGAATAATGTCAACTTCAGTAGGGATTGTCAAAATGCTTTGGACTCATGTTTCCATGTTGTAATTATTCTCGTTGTGACAAAATCGACTTTATAACTACCACCGACTATTTTTTCTCGTACAATCCATGTGAAAGAAGCTCTTAGTCTTACTAACGAGATAAGTCAAAGTGACGTGAAAAGTATTAATTTCAGCATATGGAAAGGGAAAGCATTTATGGCTGAAATTCCTTGTTAAGTTTACGGAACCTTAATAAATTGAGGGACGCTAAGTCTTCCTTTCAAACTTTATTGAATGTGCTTCCTATTGCATACCTCAGCGCAGAGGTAATTGTTTCACTTAGTGCAGACAGCTGAACACAGGAAATATTTGTTGAAAACAAATTATTTCCAAGAAACAGAATTCAGTGTGGCTTGACATGCCACAAGCAATATACACATATTTTCTGTTAGCCGTCTTGTCATGGCCACAAGCAAAAAGTGTCACCTGAAGGTCGAAAAATTATTTCTCCGGATCTTTCTGTTACTTCAGTGCTGGTAAGTGAATGTATTTTCTCCACCATAATTACATCAGAAGTATTGGCTTCCTTTCTCTTTTAGACAGTTTACCATAACCTTTGAATTTGAGTTAACATTTGTCAAAGAACTTTGTTTTTTGCTTTTTATTATCATCGAAATAACATTAACCAAAGTCTCATCTTGAAGGTACTGTAAAATTTTTATAGCAACTTTATTGGACGGGAAAATATATCACTTGAATAACTGCAACATAAAACAGTATACCAGTGGCATAGAATGCCATTTTAACATTTTAAATCATGTTTTACAATATCGAAAACACTATTCAGTACAATTTAAGGACGGCATATAGTAGATAATATTTACAAAACAAACGCTGTACAAGGTTTACATATACAGTACATGTATATAATGTGTATTTAGATGTAATTGTAGTTTTGAAGAAGAAACTTTACAATGAGGTATGAAGTAAAAAATTGTTTCCATTCCAGCTTCATTCATATGCAGTCTGGCATTTACGAGGACAACTTTTGTGAATTTTTTTGAATGAAACGTCAATAAAGGTTAACCATAAACTTCTCCAATCCCTCAACTTTCACGAGGAAATATTGGAGAGCATTTTCAAATTAGGAAAAGTCACTAGAGCCCAGTCACTGGCATGCTACAAAGGATTTGATGCCTGTGAATTCAGGAAGGTTCCAGCAACAATATCTAGAGAGTTTTAAGTTAAAAGTGACACACATTCTGTATTTACCCTAGGTTGGTAATGCAAGAGGAATGGACAAAACTACACTGACAAAACCCTTAAGTTAACGAGAATAATTTGTTTAGTTTCCACTTGTTAGGAAGTACATGTACACATATTTTTAACCAGGAGTATCATGACCTCCCTCGGGAAACCAAATCTAATTTTAAAATAGTAATAAAAGAGCAACATGAAATTTTCTGAAATAAATGCTGCTGTATTTCCAGCATTGCGGTACTGTACATGTATCATTTTGTTTGATGACTGCTCTATAGAGAGACTACATAAACAATGGATAAGTACACAACTCATGAGTATCGGCATCATTCGACCAGTTATCCGCACAGGTCAAAGGTCATGAAGTTAGGTATGGACATTCATTCTTTCCCTTCCTTCTCTCCATTCTCTGTGTCTTTCTTTTCGCCGTCCTCATCTCCATTTTCCTCGATTATTGTATTCTGTTGGGAAGAAGCCACAATTCAACCATTGAAAATAGAGTTGTGTGGGTTTGTTTCATCTTGAATAGCGTGTGTGCATAATGCCCTGGCAGTCTTTTCCCCTCACGTTAGCACAAATCCAATGAAGTTGTCAAACAGTCTGTACTTACATCTATCTTTGCTTGGTTATCTTTGGCATTCTTGGCTTGTTGCTTCTTCTTATCGGCATTGATCATGTGGAAGAAGTCTTTTTCAGCCGAATCCACGAGGTCCTCATCTTCCATACCTTCTCCCTCACCTTCCTCCTGGTCCACCAAGAAATTGGTGGGGGGGGGACAAGCAAAATGAAAATTGTGGAAAAAGCACCCCTCTGAACCATTAAACTCTACATGCCAATTAACTCAATCCTCCCAATTTCAACTGTGGCACCTGACAGGCAAAAACCTCATTTTAATTTAATATCGTTCTGTCAAGTAAAGGTAGTTATGAACGTGAAACCTTAAGTTGGTTTTCTGTAACTCGTGGGTAAGTGTGCAGTTTCATGATGGGATTGTCTACGCCCAGCTTTTTTTTTCCAATTCTTGTCATTAAAGCCACAGTAAAGACACCGCTTATTTAAGGGAGCTGCTAAACATACAAATCTGCTAAGCAGGGATAATATCTGCTTAGCAAACAAGTTAACAGTTAAACCCTAATGTATCGTAGACTGCATTAATTCACTAGTTACCATCTGATCCAAGGCTTGGCCATATAGTTTGTGTAGTTTTTGGCTTAGTATCTCCATAACATTAGGCCCAGGTTGTCTCACTTTTTCATTTGTTAACAGGCTCATTAGCAGAGACCTGGTGTCTCTCTATATATGCCACGACTTATGGCAAAGGAGCTCAAGAATCTGTATCAAAGGTGAGTTTAAACTAAAACAAAAGCTCCACCTCATGTCCGGCGGCACTTGTCCCTGCCCGCTTCAGCCTAAGTTCTCGCTGCCGGGACTCCAGAATCTTCTCCCGTTTGGTCTCCCGCTCAAACATGGCCGTCACCAGGGCCTTCTCGTTGCGCTGCATGGTGCACAGGCTGCTGGACAGCTCCAGCAGAGTGGTGGTGCCAGTATGGGAACCGGTTGCAATCAGGTGGCCCTGGTCCTGTACCCGCAGACTGTGCAAGGCCTCGTCACATACCTGTTGCATTCATGAAAAGAGACAAAAGATAAAATGAGCAGACTGAAAAAAAGACACAGTTGATTTTCCATTTTAGTCTTATGTCCAGACTACAATCTGCAGACTAAACCAGCAATTACAATTACTGCAATGGTAAAAAGCTTGTGCAGAAGTCGTATATGCGTGCATTTACATGTAGTGCCTGAAGGGAATGGGACCTGCACAAGCACAGCCAGCTTAAGAACACCTGCAACAAGGGTAAGTGTGGTGCCACCACAACATGTGTCTCCTCAGATTAGTTTATATACTACTTGCTATTTGACACTGTAAGTCCTTTTGACATCTAACCTGCAAGCTGAGTGTTGGGTCGTTTTGTTTGAACAGGTAGTCCCAAACATCCAGTGTGCCGTCCATCTTGGTGGTGAAGAACACGGCCGGCCGGACTGGACTCCAACAACCGTCCGTCATGTAGGACATATGGTACCTGTAATCAGGACAGAAGAGTAAAGCCTTAGACTTGTTGTTTATAGATGTTCACTGATGTGAAGAATTTGGAGCCATCTGACAAATAGCAGGAAAACCTCATAACCACGCAATAACACAGCGAAGGAATATATCTCTTGTGAGTATGTGTGGTTCTGAAAAGAACCA